TACTGCTTCAGTGATTCCATCCAGCCACCTTACTATAATTGCTTTCCTTTAAATAGGAGAACAGATAACGTGTTGTGGCATTCTTGTGATTTCAGGCACTTGAAAAGAATGATCATATACTAAGTCTCAATTTACATTCTTGCATCAGAAGTTGGAACATACAGATAGTCCGCAAATTACAAATGTGATTGAGCCCAGAATTATAGTCTTGAATCATGCCAGTCAGGTGGACAAGTAGGCTTGGGCAATCTTTCTCCTATAATGCCCAACTTTGACCTTTTGTGGTCACTCATTAAGCAAACAATTGTGCCAGTTGTAAAGCAAATGCGGCAGTCATTAAGTGCATCCACTGTCAGCAATGGGCACTTTTTATTGGAAACCAGAAGTAAACACCACATAACTGTGGGACACTGCAATTGGCCATAAATGCAGGCCATATGCCAAACACCCAAAATGCCATCATGTGATTATGGGGGGCAGGGAAGCAACCATCAGAATCTCGAATCTGGATCACAAGTAGTCTTGGGTGATTTGTCATAATTTCAAGCGATCGTTAAGCAATCAGACGTAAATCGAGGATTACCTGTAAATACATAACGATGAAGTTTGTGACATGAGTTATCACACATATCATTTAATCCTGGTTTCCTCCACTGGCCCATGTTACGTTGAACATTGAACAGAAAGTTTAAAAACGGTATTGTAAATTGTGCAACTGAGATGCTTTCCACAGAACGAGGCTTTGTCTTACATTTTTAATATATAACAATGTATGTAATTTTTCACTATATAAAATATATAAATAACTTAATTTCCTTTCTTGTTGCAACGATTTCTCTTTAAATGTAATGGTCTAAAGAAACATAATAGATAATATTCTTAAGGAACAAAACTTTAGAACTGTATACTTAGAAGGAAGAGAGGCATATTAGTGCAGAAGACGCCTGGTAGGACTTTTTCCAAACAACAGGTTTTATTAGAAGGTAGTGGATTAGGTAATCTGCAGATCTGTTAATCAGAAAAAAAAGTGCTACCAGATTACTTGTTATTTTATCTGATGTAGAAATTTTGATGCAAGTTTGTTTGCAATAAAATTTCATTTTAATGTATGCATTTTAGTGTACATTTAAAGTGACAATAAAGTTTTCTACTCTACTCTTCTTTACTCTTCTCTACTCTACTCTACTCTACTCTATTCCATCCCATTCTATTCTACTCTACTCAATTCTAATTTCATAAGCTGCTATTTATTGAGCAAATGATGACCATGAATTACCCGTTTTCTCTTTCCTGCATTCTCCATAGGTTAATGCTTCTCCATCTCTTACATCCAGTACTGCAAATGACCGTATACTCAAGTACAATCTGATAAATGACACACTGAATATTGCTGTGCCCAATGGAGAAATTCCTGATTGTAAATGGAATAAACCGCCCCCCAAAGAAGCTCTTGGGAATTATGAAATTTTGTAAGTGTTTAAGAATAGATATATAGAAATGGATTTGCTAGAGTTCTATTTGGCCAAGATCTTACTCTATGGAGGTTTCACAATGAATCCACATTAATTGTTAAGTCAAGACATCAGGTCATGATGTCCTGTTAGACCTAGTAGCGATAAGAGTGGCGAAACGCAACTATTTCTCCGCTCTTATCGCGTCTGCAGGTAACCGATCTGCCGCCCTGTTTAGGGTGTCCCGCTCCCTCCTTCATCAGAGGGTCCGGGATGTCCCTTTGCAGGGTCGGGCAGAGGAATTTGGGTGTTACCTGCATGACAAAATCGATCAGATCCGGGCCGGGTTAGCCTCCGATTGGACTAGTTCAGGCGGGCCAATGGAGGCAGGTCTTGAGTCCATTTTATGGGAAGAGTTTGATCCTGTGACCCCCGAGGACATGGACAGAATGCTGGGACGGCTGAACACCACCACATGTTTACTGGACCCGTGTCCCTCCTGGCTGGTACTGGCCTCCCGGGAGGTTACACGA